CCATGACTTATTTATTTTATGACTGGGAGTTTGTGCCTTTTGACTTCCTTCACCCATTCCATCCACGCCCCACCTTCTAACTCTAACAATCACCAATCTGTTCTCTGTATCTATGAGCTTGTTGTTTTTTTAGATTCCACATATAAGTGAGAGCATATGGTATCTGTCTTTCTTTGTCTGAATTATTTCACTTAGCATAATGCTTCAAGATCCACCCATGTCCCAGATGGCAATAGTTCATTCTTTTTTATGGTTGAATAATATTCCATTGGGTACATACATTACATTTTCTTCATCCATTCATTCATTGATGGGCACCTAGGTTGTTTCCACTTCCTGGTTATTGTAAATGATGCTACAATGAGCATATATTCTTTTGAGTTATTGTTTCTGTTTTCTTCAGATAAATATCCAAAGGCACCTATAGTTGCAAAATAATAGTACAGTATCATAACCAAGATACTGACAGTGACACAGTCCAGTCACAGAACATTTCCATCACTGCAGGGTCCCTCAGGTTGTCCTTGTATAGACACACCCCCTTTTTTAAAAAGATTGGGTTTGTTTGTTACTGAGTTATAAGAATTCTTTATACAATGTGGGGCAAAAGTAGGTTTATAGTTGTTTGTATGGAAAATAATACAATAATAAATAATACAAGAATAAACTCTTCATGTACTTACAACTGTAAACCTACTTTCTCCTCACCCTGTATATTCTGGAGCATATGGAGTTTTCCTTCCAGTCTGTTAATATAAATTATACTAATTTTTTAATTTAAAAAATTGTGGTAAAATACACATAACATAAAATTTACCATCTAATAATTTTTCAGTGTATAGTTCAGTGGTATTAACTACATTCATATTGTTGTGCTACTATCACCACCGTCCATCGCCAGAACTCTTTTCCTCCTGCAGAACTGAAACTCAGCACCCTTTCATCAAGAACTCCCCTTTCCCTCTTATCCCCTAGCCCCTGGCAGACACCATTCTAGTCTATGAGTTTGATTACTCTAGGTGCCTCCTATAAGTGGAATCATATAGTATTTGTCTTTTTGTGACTGGCTTTTTTCACTTAGCATAATGTCCTCGAGGCTCATCAGTGTTGTAGTATGGTCTCTTATGCTTTAAGGCTCAATAGTATTTCATTGTATGTATATACCACGTCTTGTTTATCCATTCATCATGGACGCTTGAGTTGCTTCCACCTTTTGGCTTTTGTGAATAACGTGGCTGTGAACATGGTGTACACGTATCTTTCTGGACCCCGCTTCTGTTCTTTTGGGCTTATTCCCAGAAGTGGAGTTGATGATATTGTATCTAAATCCTCCTTTTACTCTACCTCTGCTTTGCTCTTTAAGCCCTGACTCTCTCAGTATCTTGTCCATTTAGACATTTAAGTTTTAAAAGTTCTCATACATCTGTTGCTTTAAATTAGGTAGTAAGTTCTCAGTTAAGAAGATTGTTTAGAGAATAGAGTATAGCAGTTATTTAATTTCCTGGCTAGGTGTCCAGAAACCCTTTTGTTTCAATCCTTGCTATTGTCAAAGTGTGCTAGTTCCTTTTATTCTCTTAGTAAATACAGCAGAGTGGACATAATGGAATTCAGGATCTTGTGATGCTTTAGGGCTATCATTTGTGAACATGGATTCACAGCATAGTGTATAGAGGGGAGAAATAGCTGGGGATCAGAGCAATGTACCAACACCTCTGAACTCTTTACAAAACTAAATCCTTGATGAATTTGTTTTATTTTATTATTTAGGTGTTTATAAGCAAATCAAACAATATCTATATATATAAAAGCCTAAGCAATCGTCCAACCATTCGACCATCTGACCAGTAGCTATGATGCACACTGACCACCAGGGGGAAGACGCTCAACACAGGAGCTGCTGAGCTGTGGTGACTTGGCAGCTGTGGTTCTTGAGTGACGCACCCGGAACCAGAGAGGAGGGAGCCTGAGAACTGCCCTCTCGCAATTCAGGAACCCCCGGGGGATGTCGGAGAGCCAGTTTCAGCCTGATCCCCGCAGATCAGGCCGAGGGACCCCACCAGTGTATGATTCCATGCACCAGGCCTTTAGTAGTATTATAGAATAATATTCGAAAGATGTTCACTGAACTTTGTTTCTCATCTGGCCATATTTACCAATTTTCTTCTTTTCTGCTTTCCTCTTTGCATCTGTATCCCATATCACCAGACAGCAGGCTGTCTCCCCAGCTCTGAGTAAGCCCCTTCAATACGTGTAACTGTGGAAGAAAATGGGTCTGCAATGCAGTATTCATTTTCCTCTCCCAGCTGCTCTTCTTTCTTTACTACACTTCAAGGAAGAAAAATAGAGCTTCGGAGGAAAGAGGATTAGAGAAAGAAAGAGGTAGAAGAACCAAGAAGAAGAGAAAAGCAAAGACATTCATTATGAAGAAGCACAAAGGAGGTGGGCGGGGCTCAGAGAGATGAGGTGAGGGCGGTTGGAGGTGTCCCAAAGCCAGGCTTCACGATTGCTCCGTCTTTGGACTAAATGGACCTGACCCCTCTGGGCCTGGGGATCAATTGCCAGGAACCTCCTAAGGCTGTGACAAGTAGGTCACTAAACCAGAGGTCACGGGGCTGGCATGGACGTAGCTGGCGTTCTGTAACCAGCATTTCTCGAGTGCCTGCCACCCACAGCTTCCTGAACTCCTTACTCATTGTTCCACAAGAGCAGAAAGACCGAACCTCCTCCCGGTTGTTCTACTCTCTGGACAGAGGGGCGTAGTCCCCAAGTTCTCCCAGTCCCTTCTCTGTCCCCTGCCTGGAAATGTCCTCTAATCCTGGGGCTGGCGGATTGCAGTCTCCCTTTTTTCCCTTCAGCTGATGAGCCTGTTTGTAATACTTGGAGACAGAGGTCCCACCATGCCAACTGTTAGCTCTTACCTGATGTCACTGTGCCTGACAAGCAGGGAATAGAGAAATGAAGGCACCTGGACTATTTCAAACATGGCTTCCCAGGCGGGTGTGGCAGGCTCTTCCCACTTGTATTTTTATCAACCCATAGCGTTTGCATGGTATACGTCCAGGCTTGGAAGTGACCTGGGAATAGAAAGGCTTAACATTTTCAAGGCACCTTTTCCCTGTGTTACTCCAGAATGAGGCTGAATATATGTTAAGGTAATTTAGTTACAAAGAATTTGTGGCATCTAAGCCTATTTTTTTTTTTTTTTTTTTTTACAGAAGTTAAGAAACAAGTAAAAAATATAGACTCGATTGACCTAATATACAGTGGGGCCTTGACTTACGAGTTTAATTCGTTCCGTGACGGAGCTCGTAACTCAAATTACTCGTATGTCAAATCAACAGTGAACGAGTGAGACATGTGATGCTGGGCTGATGTTGTGGCGTTCACTGTGACGTTCGCTGCGCCAACTAGCGGTGGGGTATCTGAAGCTGGCTCGTAACCCGAAATTTAGCTCGCAACTCAAAGCAAAAAATCAACTGAGAGACGCCTTGTATCTCGAAAAACTCGTTAGTCGGGACACTCATAAGTCAAGGCCCCACTGTATTACTGATGTTGCACTGTTTTCTAGCTGTTTGCTCACATTTCTGATCTGTAATTGCTATCCTGCTTAATTACCTTCTTTAAGCAATCTAAGGTAGTTTGTGGTCTAAATGTGATTCCTATCGAGACTTTTCAATCTGACCAAGAAATAAAACAGACAGGAGCAGCAGCAGGGTTGTACACAGTGAGTGACTCACCTGCATCATGAGGGTGTCACAAACCAGAGTTCTCCCCAGGGGCTGTGCCTCCCAGGGGCATGTGCCAGTGTCTGGAGACATTCTGACTCACGGGCCTGCCGAGGAGGTGCCACTGGTCTCTGGTGGGCAGAGGCCCCCACGTCCAGAGTAAAAATGCCAGTAGCGCTGAGTACAAAACTGCTCATAAATATGTGCAGGAGCTATGGACTGACTGATAAATCACCACATTAGGGAAAACCCATGGGGGTGCCCATGATTGTGGCCACTGTCTCTGGGTCTTTCTGTTTTGTTTTTTTCTTCCAGATTTCTATTTTGAAATCATTTTAGATTCATAGCCTGTGTGATTTTCATCTCTCTCTAGTCTCCTTAGCACTTTGCTAAATGTTGAATGAAATCAAAGAGAAGGATGAAGACACATCACGAACAGATCCATTTAGGCTTCACTTCCATGAGAAACATGGAGGATTGCAGCAGTGGGGAAGATCTGAGATGGGCTTCTTGGTTTCCTAGAAACACCCAGCAGGTTGCCTGCCCCCCTGCGCCAGCCTGTTCCTTTGCTTCTACTGGGCTTAGGTTGCTTAGTGCCAGTGGAGTTGGTGTCACTGAGAACGTCTCCTACTTAGGTCACTGATGAGCTTTGGTCTTGAAAGAGTTCGTTTCACATCCTACACCTTACCCAGGCCATTGGGGTGGCCAGCACAGCCCTATAGGCCATCACTTTTAAGTATGTATGTTTGTGTATTCTGATTAAAACACAGAAACATAACTTCAGAGTCTTCTGTAATCCTGATAACAAATTGGTGTATATCCTCCCAGTTTGTATGCATTAACATCTAATTATTAAATATAAAAGTGGAATTTTAATTTTATTGTATATTATACTTTTTTTACAACTTGTGTTTTTACTATACTATATCATGGACATTGATTATTCTATCTGGTATGAGGGGTAAATCATTTAAAGCTGTCCATAAAATAAAGATGATAGTGTCCACCCTCCTATTTCGGAGGCATTATAAGGACTCAGATATAAGATGTGTAAAGTGTGTTGAGTTTTTTAGATGAAAATACCATGATGTAATGTACCATGGTCTATTTTTAATTGATTATAACAATGTGGAATGACTCTGTTACTAATTTCTTTTGAGATGTCATTGAAATATTTTTAAGATCAGAGTCCTTGGAAAGAAGCCGTCGTGACTGCATTGCTGTAGTTTGTGTAGTAATCTTAGGTTTCGACGGCCTTTTCTGTGTTCCCCACAGGCAAGTACGTGTACCAGCCTATGACCCCCGTGGAGCAGCTCCCCAGCACCGAGATTCCTGTGAAGCCCCGGGAACCCACGAACACCATTCAGATCTCAGTCTCTCTCACTGAACACTTTCTGAAATTTGCATCTGTCTTCCAGCCTCCCCTCCCGCCTGACTCCCCAAGGTACTGTATGATCTCAGACCTCTTTATTGACAACTACCAGGTTAAGTGTATTAATGGGAAGATGTGTTATGTGCAGAAGCAGCCGGCACCGCATTCCCACAAAATGAGCCCTCAGGAGGTCTCTGCACACGATGCCTTAATTTCAAAAGAGAGCAATACACCAAAAATAGATCACTGCTCTTCTCCCTCAAGTTCTGAGGACTCTGGGATCAATGCCGTCGGGGCTCACTATGTGGAATCGTGTGATGAGGACACGGAGGAAGGAGCAGAATTGAGCTCAGAGGAAGACTACAGTCCAGAGAGCAGCTGGGAGCCGGACGAGTGCACCCTTCTCTCCCCGTCGCAGTCCGACCTGGAGGTGATCGAAACGATAGAAACCACCGTGTGAGGCCGGGCAGGAAGCCGCGTCCTCTGGTCCCTGCTGCGCTTTGTGCTCGTGTTGATGGGCCCTTTTGCCAGTGCAGTTGGTATTTTCGACCCCTAACAACTGTAGCAGTTCAGTGGTCTGCTGATTAGCTAAACTCTTAAATTAGTCTTATAACTAAGATATTTGTTTTCTTTTGTATCTTGACTTACTTTCTATGTAGCATCTGGTGTCAAGAATTGTGACCCAGCCTTAATTTCACTGGGAACTTTGTAAGCGATGATGTGATGATCACAGAGGATCATGGACCAGGTTGAGAGCTACCCAGAGTGGAGGAGACAGTATTTTCTAAACCCCCAGTTCTTCACAGGGAAACTGTTGGCATTCCTTTTGGCATGCTGACAGGCACCCCCACTGCCCTGCAAGTCCCATGTGGGAATCGGCTCTCGTGAGGGGAACAGACTGGGTCCTGGTAGATGCCATTCTGTCCCTTTCCTCTTCCCACCACCTGCCTGGGGCAGGGCCAGTTGCCTGGCTTACTTCCAGGAGGGGACTGGGGGCCAGCTCAGCCCCTAGCTATGATCAGTGTCTGCACAACCCTCCATGGTCTGGGGCTGAGCTAGCCCTTCATTTAAGAAGAGATGACATCTTCAATTTCACGCTCAATCCGGCTCTAGCCTACACTCTGCAGGGTGCTGTGGGGATACAGAATGAATAAGACCCGATTCCCCACATGAAGGGAACCACAGTCCAGGAGGGGAGATAATGCATGCAGGTAACATTACCCAGAATTCTCTGGGAACCCAGGGGAAGGAGAGATGTACTTGGCTTGGAGCTAGGGAATGTGTTGTAGCATTTGAGATGGTCTCTTGGGTGGGTTTCCCAACATTTCCCTGCTTTTCTTAATTGTTCTTCAAATCTGGGAAAAACTTTTAGGAAGTTATATAGGTATTATATTTAGGAAGCAGCCACATCTGATGTCTTAAGAAACTATCAGTAATAGTTTTAGTTAGCATGGAAATGCTAAAGACAGCAGTCCTTTAGGGATTAGGATGAATCTAATAGGTTTGATGAATTCTGCTTCATTTGGTTGTATGAAGCATTAGAATGGCTTAGGTGGGAAATGGGTTAGAATTCATTATGATGCATGGGTTTTTATGCAAATGCAAACGCAGTTGAAGTAGTTCACTGCTAAGTCAGGAGAAAATATTTTGTGTGATATTCATCCACTTTACTACAGTAATATTAATGGTCTGTTGTACATGTTCTCTTTTCTCACACACAAAATAGTGAATAACTTTTCCTTATTTAGCTTTCTTCAGAATTCTCCTCCCATCTCCATTTATACCAGCTGTTCTTGTGTGAGCTGGTTATCTGCCATTTCTCCAAAGCTTCTCTCTGGGAGGCATGTTAAGAATCCAGGAAATTTAACACTCAGCCTAGTGACACTAGAGCTATCCAAGCTGGAGACAGAAAACCACTTCTGACGTCCTAACCGTCCTAACCGTCGGGACTGTGCGCTCGCGGCACTGCCTCCTGCTCTGTCAGCATGACGGCACGCTCTTCTGCGTTATGTTCGTCTGTATCTTAAGAAATAAGAAGAGGCCCGTGTGTTCTTCCCTGAAGCCTCCACTTGACTTCCTTCACAAGTCATTAGGCAAATCTGCTTTCCCAGTTGTATATGTGGTTTACGTGATTGGCTAGAACACTCGTTAGGTTTAGGTGCCCAAACATCCATGGGGTTTACAGTATGCAGATTCCTTTGAGAACAGTGTTAGCTAAAGCTTTCTAAGCTAGATGAGAATATGACGTAAGGTTTCCACCTACTGAAATGTAAGGACTCAATAAGTCAAGCCGATAAGGTGGTGAGAGGAGCTCCAGGAACAGGGGCTCCCCGCCTCCCCCCTCCCCCAGCCAGCCCAGCCCAGGTGGCTCAGGGACAGACATCTGCTGAGCCTCCTGGGGTTCATGGTGCCTCCACGACTGAGTGGACAGATGAAGGCGAGCATAGAAGCTGTGCAGTCAGCAGCTGTGTACTCACGGTGGTAACAGCAACATAGCACCCTCCTCCCCCTCTTCCCCCTCCTCCCCCTCTTCCCCCCACTGCTGTGGGTAAGCTCATTGAATTCCCCAGGATGCATATGAAGGTCCTCTTTCTTGGCACCGTTCCTACCAAGTTCCCTACTCTGGGCCCACATTCCTCATTCCTGTCCACTAAACTAATTGAAGTCAACCACCAGGCCTTTAAAGCCCTGGAAATACATGGTCACAGGGCCGTTCCCAAGGCTGGCTGTTTCGCATTGGGCCCTTTATCAATAATATCTATAACTTTTAAAACTCTTGAACTGCCATTCAGAGTAGCCACGATTTTAATGAAATTTTTGGATTTAATAACGGTTGATATCACTTTAAATATTTACACACTCTTTATAATTAAAAACGCACTAAGCTTCGCCTACTACTATCTGTTTTATAGAATTGGAGACGTTCCATTGGATTCTAAATATTAAGATGCTCCTGGATCTCAAAAGAACCTTTTCTAAACAAGCACAAGCAAGAATTTCCTTTGTCCTAGCACTGTCAATGTTAGTAATTCTCCAGAGAGTCATATAGGATTGAACCAGAATTGTTTCTTTCTGCTTGCATTCCAAAACGACCGATAAGGACATAAAAATGTGTAGTTTCGACTTGAATTCTAGGCCTGTTCTGTTCTATGTTATATAAAAGAATTTCTCTGTAATCCTGATATTATACTGCTCTTTTGTATAAGCATATTTATAGGCACTTTAGAGAACATTTAGCCGCAACGTGTATTATAGACATTGGAAACAGTCATGTGTTCGCTTTCGGTTACTGCGTGATATTGAGGGGTGAGCGCTTTATAATCTGGGTCTGGCCGTGTGCTCACCTGGAGCAGAGGGTTGTGCTGTGCAGACGGAGAAACTGCTCTCTTGGGCTTTTGTAGAAAGAAACCTGGCCCCGTTCCTACTTTTTGAAAGTTGGTGTAAAAGCTGTTAGGAGGAAGATACAAAGTAAGTGCTGCATGGAATACAGCTTTCTTATCACACCAAGATTTATTTTAGAATCTTCAAATATGCTCATAACTTTTCTGAGAAATGACAACGCAGTTAAAATGTTTTGTGGTTGTAGTTGGTACAGGAACAAATACAGCTTTACCATCAAATCTAGATTTTTTTATTTTTTTTTTTACCTTGTAATTTTCCAGCTTTGAAAAGCGATTTTGAGGGAAACCCTGAAGAAAAAAACGTTGCTTTCTTGGAAAGGGAAAACTTACAGTTCATGGTAACACTATACAAGATAAAAGCACTAAGACCAGAACCAAACTGTGAGGTTGTCCTGAGGTACCTTTTGGATTGGATCTAGGACTTGATTCTGTCTTGGGGGTGGGGCTTTATTTCTTATCCTCCACTTCCTAGCCTTTTTGAAACACCACAGTTCTTTTGGAATTGATCATAACTCCCCTTATGCAAATTTCTCTATTTGGATAATAGGATGCAACCAAATAATTTAGGAAGCTGTCAAAATATCCAGATATATTTGGCAGTATAAGTACCACTAGGCAAGAAAAAAAGCATAAGATAAAATAATATTTATAAAATCAGCTCTTGATTATTCCATCTTGTTTGCAAAATTTTATTGAAACATTTTGGCTTTCTACAAGAGGGAAACACAATTTCAACAGCCCTCTTTCCTGCTCCCCTCTCCAGAGGAGCTGTGACCAGAATTAAGGAGGCCAGTTGTATTTGAAGCTTTTTAGAAAGTAGTATGTGACTCGTGTCTTGCCCTTGAGGAGGAGTGGAGAAGGAAGTGGGAGTTCTCACTTTATCAGTTCTGTGCTTCAAGGGATGTCAGTGTTTCTCACATCCAAGCATAAGTATAAGGACACTTCTCAAAATTAATTTTGGAATTTTAAAAACTTTGTAAGTCCCGGCTCCTTTCATTATTATGGATAATGGACAGCTGACTGTATAGGAAAGGGCCATGTTTCGATTAGTGCTTTGAGATGGACGCAGCGCTCTCTGAATATTCCGAACCAGTCTGAAGGCAGATCGTCACTGGAGGTTTAATACTGAGCTTGCATATCATTGTGTTCATATACACTTTTTTAGGGTGTTCATACCTAACAATATTCACTTACTGTGCTATTTTTTAAAATCTCTCTATTTTAAAGTTTTAAGCACAATGTTGACCATTCTGTAATTTCCTAAAATTATATTGTTTTCTTACAGACAACTTACCTTTCCTTTATGTATAATACTTTAGGGAAATAACTACCTTGTCAAATAAATGTAACTTTTTTTTGTACCAGCACACGTTTGATATTTTGGAGTTTGGAATATTCTTTCCCTGCAGTTCCCCCTTTCCAGAGGCTCTGATTTAAATAACAATACAGTGAACTAAACAAAACAAAACTCGCTGTTTGTAAAACGTGAACCGTTTACTAGTATATTGCCTGCTTCCATTGTGCTGGGAAATACTCGGTTTACATCATTATCCCAGGCTTCGTGAGGTGCAGGTGAGTGTTCTCCACAACACACACTCCTGGTCGCCGAAGAACCCTTTGCAGTAAGAACTTGCTTGCTGGCTACATTCGGTTTAACACTTACATTCTCCCCCAGACAGGATATCTTTCCCACAAAGCTACAAGCTGTGTATCCAGTTCACACGTGCCATGTGCACAGTTCGACCCCAGGTCCTTGGGGTGCAGCCTCTTGGCCACCAAGGCTCACAATCCAAGCCTCAGGCTGGCAAACCCAGGAGCTCCGTTTTTACATTCAGCACCCCCAGAAAAGAGCGACTTGGGTTGACTTTTATTGCATAACCTCACTGGGGTTGCTAAGTAAATCCTTTAGTTAGCAATTGTAACATCATTGTTAGTATTATTAATAATTACAGCTCAGCGCCTCCCTTACTGCTGTCTATGAGTAACCCTCACAGTAACCCCCGAGGGAGAGGTCGGCATCCCCGTCTCGCACACTAGGAAAAGGATTCAGGAAGTGAATATTTTTGCCCCACGTGGCACCGCTTGTGAGTCGTGGGAGTCAGGACTTGAACCCAGTCACTTTGGCTCCAGAGCTCACTGTCCTTGGGTCCTTTGCTTGTGTGGTCTACTCTTGTAGCACCCTTCCCGCCCTCCAGGTTCTAGGAGGCTGAGTCAGGTGGCAGCTTGATGAGCTGGGAGAGCAGCAGGTGTTCCATTCCATCCCTAACCCAGCAAACAGAACACCTTGCCCCGGGCTGGCAGCTCGCCAGGCTTCCTCCCTCCCTTTTCTCTGCTCCATACAGCCCCCTCCCCCACCTTCCCCCCTCACCTCATACACCATCATTCTGCAGTTATCTCAGTGCTTGGATTAGGCCACAATTTTTCCCTGTCGAATCCCAGCTTGACTAGCAGTCAGGGCTAGCTCTTTCTGCACTCTCAAAAGATAACTCGTCTTTTAAAGTGACTTCTGCACACAGCTAACCTCATCGACTGGGTGTGCATTCTACTAATTTAACTCCACATAATTGTATTGCCAAGTTCTAGAAGGCATTTCATTGTAGCCTCTTACAATTGCTGACTACACACACTTTGATTCTGCAATAAACTTTAATTTAGCCTCTCATCCTCGTTACAGTTCGATCACTGGGAACTGGTAATGCCTTTAACCCTTGGAGTGCCACCCCGTTCTGTGCTGACACAGAACTGTGGGGCAGACAGACCCTTGGGACTTGGGGGGTGGGGGTGGGGGGTGGGTTAAGGAGGGGCAGCTGGAGGTCCAATGGAATCCTTCAGGAACTAGGCAGACTCGGGAGTTTGGCAGAAATACAAATGAAAAGCAAGGCAAAGTAAATATGCCTAGACATTTACGGTCCTTTTTTCTGTTTGCTTTTTTGCCTTTTCCTAGTTTTCTAAAATGAATTGATATTATTACTTTTAGAGTCAGGAACAAACCCAGTCAGTTATGTTGGCCATGATGAGTCCTCGGGGGGTGAGTGCAGGCGGAGTGTGTGGGATGGAAAAGGAGAGCCCGCCGTGTGGGCAGCATCTCAGCCACCCGTGTGCCTGCTGGGCTGGAGGAAAGGCTGGCCTGGGAGTGTGTCCTGAACTGACTGGCCTCTACTGAGGAGTGACCCCAGTCCAGACGTCCAGCCATGGCTCAACGGCTGCCCGTGGCTTGGAGAGAGGAGAGGGTTTGTTTCTGTGTTTCTCAGACCCTAGCCCGAAGCTCTGCTGTGGATTTGGAGGGGGGAGATCTCAGAGCTGGGGCCCAGCCGGGACAGTCTAGCCCTGTGTGACACGCAGCCTGTCACCCACTGCAAAACCCCGGGTGACCAAGCCCAAGAAGGAGATCTGGAGTGTCACTGCAAGATGATGACGGAGCACAGCATCATGGTCAGCGAAGCACCACACGTCTGAATGGGGACTTACCGAGCTTTGCCCAAACTTGTCTGCCATACTCAGTGACACTGGAGACAGAGTGGATAATTTTGTGAGCTTATGGCTGAAGCAAACAAGAGCTAATTCAGCTGTAAAGACAGGTAGGTCAGTCATACATGGCAGGTAAGTAGCAGAGCCCCAAACTGCTACTGATTCCAAACCCAGTTACTCCCTCAACTCGAGCCTGTGCAGTAAACCCTGTCCTGTCCGCTCAGGCCTCTCCCGTCACCCATCTCTCTCCCCTCCCCACACCCCTTGCACACCTAGATCCACCTTAGAGGGAGACCAGCCCCCACAAAGCTGTTTTTGCTGGTAGAAGTCAGGATGGTGTTTAACTTGGTGGGGGGTGGGGCATGATGAACAGAGAATTTATGGGGACCATTCGGGTGCTGGTCATTTCTATTTGTTTGATCTGGGTGCTGGTTATATAGGTGAGTTCACTTCATGAATTGATCCAGCTGTATACATATGGTTTGTGAACATTTCTGTTCATCAAGTTTACTTTAAAAAGATAAAGATTTTAAAGAAAATATGGTGATACCTATTCTGTTTTAAGCACTGTGCTTTGGAGGACATGGAGTGGACAGAACATAATCCTGACCTCAGGAGTGTAGGAGACAGACAGGAAGACACTCACCTATGGGAATAAGGTGAGTCAGACTGTCCGTCGGTAGCTGGGGAAGGCTTCACAGCATTGGGGTGTGGAGGAGGCTGGTAGAGAAAGACGGCCAGGACGCCCCAGGGGGGAGGGGTACCCTCTGGGAGCTCAGCGGGGCTCAGACTCCCTGGGGTCCTGAAGGTGGCCGGGGCTGCCCGAGGACACCACCCCAGGAGCCTTCCTGCCTCCCTGGGCACATCACAGGGAGAGGCCCCGCTGGAAAACACTTCCACAGGGCAGAGCCGAGGAGGAGCATATGGCTCCTAAGAGCATCCCCAACCTCTGAATTATTCACTAAGCATTCATCATGGATGGGGCCCCTGTCGGCTTTCCTCTTCCACAGACACCTCCCTCCCCCTTCCCCGGAGGCTCTGGATGTTGTTTGTTACTTTGTAAAGCGTCTTCTCACATGTCACTTGGACTTTACTTAGACCAGCGGTTCTCAACCTGTGGGTCGCGACCCCTTTGGGGGTCGAACGATCCTTTCACAGGGGTCGCCTAAGACCATCGGAAAACACATATATATTTACATATTGTTTTTGTGATTAATCACTATGCTTTAATTATGTTCAATTTGTAACAATGAAAATACATCCTGCATATCAGATATTTACATCACAATTCATAACAGTAGCAAAATTACAGTTATGAAGTAGCAACGAAAATGATTGTATGGTTGGGGGTCACCACAACATGAGGAACTGTATTAAAGGGTCGCGGCATTAGGAAGGTTGCGAACCACTGACTTAGACGGAGCAGATCGCTTTTACTATCCTTATTTTTCAGAAGAGCAATCAGCCCTTCTCAGCTCACACGTGGCCAGCGGTGGGGCTGTTCCTGGAACCCGGGCTCCTTCCCCAGCCCATTCTGCCTCTGGTGCAGAACTGGGTGCCCCTCTGCTCCTGGTGGCCGGAGGGAGGGCAAGTGCTGAGTGTGTGTGTGTGGGGGGGGGGGGGGGGGGGCGGGCGGGGGCATTTGGCTGGAGCTGAGAGTAGCCATGTTCTCAGGTTGTCTATTCAGGTACTAACTTTACCAGGTGACAAAGCTGTGATGACACTGCTGTTTGGCCACCAGCATCCACTCCTCTCTCCTGTCAGGGCCCGGATTTCCTTTCAGAGAATCCTCCCCACCCCTCCCTCCTCCAGCATGAGAGGGACATTCAGACCAGGTACCTGTCCTTTTAAAATGGTAGCTGAAGGCCTCTGGAACCTCCCTCCCCCAGATCCGTCCTTTTACCACGCGCCACAGCCAAGGGGCCGGCATGAGGCCTGGAGAAGCAGCTGGAGCTCAGCAGTGGGGCTGGCGCCGGCCCAGGGCGCCTGCTCCCTCACTAAGCTCCACGCGCTGTCAGCAGAACCGCTGCTGTTGCTGAGTCTAGACATATTTCCAGATCAGTCTTTGCCCCTAAGGAACTGCTTAGAAGCGGGACCCGACGCCACTGACTGCAGACTAGAATGCGTGCTTAGTGCGCAAGAGGTCGGCAGTGACAGGGCTGCCGATGGCAGGGATTGGGGCTCAGCTCAGGCCTGCGCGTCGCCAGGGCCCAGCACTTAGCATCGGTTTCTCACCTGCCCTTGGGTGAAACAGGAAAACTCTTCAAATCCAGCCGAGTGTCTTCCTGGGCAGGCATGACCTGACCTGCATGCAGAGCTGCTGTAATGTATTCCGTGGTGCTGTGACTGAATGGCGAGCTAAAGAACTCTTGGGACCTGATGAAGGAGACGGCTGGAGGAGTAATTGGCTGATGTTGACTGGCCCTGATTTCAGCAGAGGCTCTGATACTCTGCTAGTAAACTGCTTTGGCTCTTTAGGCTACAGAATAAAGAAAAAACCACCAAGTTTGCTTTGAGAATATCGAACTCCTTTGGCCTTAACTTTAAGCTCATCAAGAAACCTTCTGTCTGTAATCTAGGGAGGTAACATCTTGGCTCTGGAACCAGTTTTGAGTTCAGACCCCTGCTCTGCCGTTTCTTGAGTGTGTCACCCTGGTTAACTTACTGATCATGTCTGAGCCTCAGCTTTCTCATCTGTAAAATGGGGTTGAGACTATCTGGTGTAGCTGCAACCAGCGTCCAGTTGGTGGTCACTTAATGCTCAGCCCCTTCCTCCAGGGTGGCCTTGCACACCTCCATCCAGAGGCGGCAGCAACAGGCGCAGCCAGGTTTCGGGAGGAGGGACACCTTGGAGGGACCGCGGGCTTGGTTCCAGAGCACTGACATGGAGTATTACAACTGAGCAGGTCGTAATCTCTTAGTCGGGAGGGTTTTGCCTTTAATTTGTAAAAAATACAAAACCTGTGAAGTGCAATACAGGGAAGTGCAGTAAATGAGGTATGCCTGTATAATAAAAGCCAAGCTGGTATTTCAGGGGCACCTCCCTGAGCCGACTGCCGAAGAGGGAGCACCTAATCTGTGTGACCTCCTGCCATTGTTGGTTCAGTGGCTGCAAAGTCCCAGGGCCAAGAAAGGTACAAATGCTGCTCTGGCAGCCAGCCCCCATCCCCGGAGCACTTGGCTGCTCTGAATGAGTCGTGAGGCAGCCGCTTATTTGAATAAAGGTGGTGTGTCACACTCAAGGTCCTTGACTTTAATACACAAATTGTAGTACTAAATGTCCTTTATGGCTTGACAGGCTGAGAGCTAGAGAGCTAGACAGCCAGCCAGCAGGCCTGCAGAGCTTAAACACAGAGCATTTATTGTTAGAAAGGGAAAATCTTACACTCAAATGGGTTTTAACATAAACACATCAAAAGGGAGATGCCGGCCCGCAGGTCCTTGGCTCCCTCCAGTGCAGGTCTCAGCTATGCTGCAGCCGGCCCACACTGTCCCCTCCTCCCAACAGCAGCAGGAGCCGAAGTCCCTCCAGGTTCCCCGCTGGCTGGAGGAGCCAAGGACCACAGACTCCTGAGTGCCTTCTGCGTGAGCTCCACCTATTCTCCAGGCTTCTGGGGAGACAGGAAAACGTCCCAACAGGCCAAGCACATTTTCTCAAAAAGCTGGATGGAGGTATGTGACAGTCCAGGCAAAACACAATCAACCAGTCTGATGCTGCAGCAGCATCATGGAAGAGACGGGAGGGAGTCTCCCTGGCCTGGTGGGCATGAGAAAGCCTCCACCTTGGACCCACTGCTTAGGAGTGTGGGTGGCAGCGGGGGTCAAGCCAGTCAAGGGGGTCCCCCAGTTGCCTCGGGTCACCTCTGCTCTTCAGGGCCAGGCCCCAGAGAGGCGTCAGTCCTCAGTCACAGGCGGGGGAATGAGCTGCAGCTGGAAGTTCTCGTTCTGGAAGATGCTGTGGGAAGCAGGGCCACTCTGGGAACCACTGAATGGCCTGTAGCTCTCGCTGCCGCGGCTCTGGGAGAGTTCTGTAAGGAGCGCCAGCTGCAAAGGAGCGGACACACATCAACCAAGGCGGTGAGGGCGGAGAATGTGTGGGGCAGTTGGATGTGGGTGGGGGGTCCTGAGTATGTGAGGGGCGGGGCTGCACTGCGGGAAGAATATACTGGTTTGGATCCCAGTTCTGCGTCTACAAACAAGTAATGTGACTGCACTAGTTCACGTGATTTTTGGACCTAAATTCCCTCCTTTACTGAGTGGACTGGGTCCATCCCGTAGACACATCAGACTGTGCTGCTCTCTGATAATGGAAAGCTGACGGATTCTAACCATCAGCGCCGAGTCCTCCTCCTCGAGTTGGTCCTGACCCTGAGGTTCTCCTCTCTGCTCATCTCCCTGCACTCCGTCCTGGTCAGTTCTCGGGGGAATGGCCCTGCACGAAGATCACTGGCTCTGACTGCTCTCTTCTGTAACCTGGACAGCTTCAATGGATGCCCAGCTGCTACGTCCCACTCCCCTGTGAGAAGTCTCCAGGGCAGACTCAGAGACTACCGGCTCCTCTAAGAGCCCTGCCTGCTCCCAGCTGCACTGGTGTCCAGTGACACCAGTGCAAAGCAGTTAGTGGCTCAGTCCTGGAAGACCTGCCAAGGGCAGAGAGTGGCAGGAGGAAAGGTTAATGCCAGCCCATTGGGAAACCAGGCCGTGCTACTCAGAGGGGTCATCCCTTTTGCCTCAAAGAGGCCTCTGCAAGAGTAAGGAGCCTCATGGCCTGGCCATCGAGATGCCCTGGCTGGTCAGAGGACAGATGAATTCCACTCTCAAGGTCCTGCCCATGGAGAGGGCAGCTGTGAGGAGTGAGCCACCACAGGGTGACCCAGGCCGAAGTCTGTAGGACAGTGGTTCTCAACCTTCTGGCCCTTTAAATACAGTTCCTCATGTTGTGACCCAACCATAAAATTATGTTCGTTGCTACTTCATAACTGTAATGTTGCTACTGTTATGAATCATAATGTAAATATCTGATATGCAGGATGGTCTTAGGCGACCCCTGTGGAAGGGTCGTTTGACCGCCAAAGGGGTCGCGACCCACAGGTTGAGAATCGCTGCTGTAGGGACTTCTGACAGCCCCAGGTAACGTGAGTGCCCTCTAGGTGCCAGGCACTATGCGAGGTCCTTGATATGTGCATGATTTCTAAAAAACTTTTTAAATTTAAGTACAGTTGGTATACAATATTAATTATATTAGTCTCAGGTGTATAGTATAGTGATTTGACATTTTTATACCTTACAATGTGATCACTCCACTAATTATAGTGCAAACTTATTATAGTGTCCTTGACTATATTCCCCTTCACCTTTATCACCCCTCCCCCACCTGCTCCCCTCTGGCAACCATCCCTTCTTTGTTTCTATGAGTCTGTTTTTTGTTTTGTTTGCTATGGGTTTTTTTTTTAGATTCCACATCTAAGTGAAATCATATGGTATTTGTCTTTCTCTGTCAAACTTATTTTACTTAGCATAATACTCTCTGGGTCCATTCATGCTGTCACAAATAGTAAGACTTCATGTTTTTATTGCGCAATATTCCATTGTGTATATTTTATTGTATATACCACTTCCTTCATTATCCGTTCATGTATCGATAGACACCTAGGTTGCTTCCATATCCTGGCTATTATAAATAATGCTTTAATGAACACAAGGATGCATGTATTTGTTGAACTAGTATTGTTTTCTTCAGATCAATACCCAGAAGTGGACTTGCTGGGTCATATGATACTTCTATTTTGCTGTTTTCCACAAGCGACTGCACCAGTTTGCAGTTCCACCAACAGTGCACAAGGGTTTCCTTTCCTCCACATCCTTACAACACAACAGTTGACTTTCTGATGAAAGCCATTCTGATAGGCAGGAGGTAGTACCTCATTGTTTTGTTTTGCATTTCTCTGATGATTCGTGATGTTGAGCATCTTTTCATAAGTCTGTTGGCCATCTGTATGTTTTCTTTGGAGAAATGTCTTTTCATGTCCTGTTTATTTGAGGAGGACAGTTCGAAGTCTTCTTTAAATGTCTGTGGAGCCATCTGGTCCTGTGCTTTTGTTTGTTGGGAGTTTTTATTACTACTTCAAATTCATTGCTAGCACTGGTCTGTTCAGATTCTGTGTCTTCCTGGTTTACTCTGGAAGGTTGTATGTTTCTAGAAATTTATTCATTTCTTCTAGATTGTCCGGTTTGTTGACATATAATTGTTCATAGTATTCTTTAGTGGCTTTGTATTTCTTGGTGTCAGTTCTAACTTCTCTTTCATTTCTGATATGCTGTATTCTTTTTTTAGCTTGATGAGTTTTGTTAGAGGCTTGCCAATTTTATTCTTTCAAAGAACCAGCTCTTAATTTCATTAATCTTTTCTATTGTTCTTCTATTTTCTATTTCATTTATTTCCACTCTGATCTTTATTATTGCCTTCCTTCTACTTACTTTGGTTGTGTGTTTTTTTTTAATATATTTTTTTGATTTTTTACAGAGAGGAAGGGAGAGGGATAGAGAGTTAGAAACATCGATGAGAGAAAAACATCGATCAGCTGCCTCCTGCACATTCCCTACTGGGTATGTGCCCGCAACCAAGGTAAATGGCCTTGACCGGAATCAAACCTGGGACCCTTGAGTCCGCAGGCTGACGCTCTATCCACTGAGCCAAACCGGTTAGGGCCTTACTTTGGGTTTTGTTTGTTCCCCTTTTTTCTAGTTTCCTTAGGTGTAGATTTAGATTGTTTATTTGGGATTTTTCCTTCATGTTGAGATAGGTCTGCATGGCTATAAACTTTCCTCTTATAACTGCTTTTGCTATAAGGTTACATTTTCATTTGTCTTAAGGTAGTTTTTGATTTCCTCTTCGATCCATTGGTTGTTTAGAAGCATGTTGTTTAATCTCCATGTATTTGTGTGTGTGTGTGTGTTTTCCCTGAAGTTGATTTTTAATTTCATGCCATTGTGGCCAGAAAATATGCTTGATATAATTTCAATCTTCTTGAATTTATTGAGGCTTGTTTTGTGGCCTAGTATGCAATCTATCCTGGAAAATGTTCCATGTGCACTTGAAAAAATAGTGTAACCTATTGTATTTGGATAAAGTGCTCTATAAATGTCTGTCAGGTCGAACTGGTCCAATGTGGCATTAAGGCCATTATTTCCTTTTAATTTTGTCTGGGGAGTAGTTAACTTTTGCCTTTATGTCTACTTACTAAGAATTGCTTTATATGTGTGGGTATCCTAAGTTGGGTACATAGATATTTACAATTGTTATATCCCCATCTTATATTGAACCCCTTTAACATTATGTAATGTCCTCCTTTGTCTCGAAGTGTATTTGGTCTGATGCCAGTATTGCTGCCCCAGCTTCCATTTGTTTCTATTCACATGGAATATCTTTTTTCATCCCTTCACTCTCTTTCCATCTAAAGTGAGTCTTCTGTTTGCAGCAGATACTGGTACACAGATCATTTCCTCCCCCTTAAGTCCATTCGGCTACTTCTGTCTTTTGTTTGGAGCATTTACTCCATTTACATTTACAGTAATTATTGATAGGTGTGTGCTCACTGCCAATTTGTTAATTTATTTTTAGTGGTTTTTGTTGTTCTTCACTGTTTTTTTCTCTTCATTTTTGGTTTATGGTTACCATGAGGTACATATGTATCTATATCTTTAGCAGTCTCTATTTCAAGCTGACAGGCATTTGAGTTCAAATGCATTCTAAAAGCAGTACATTATTTCTTCTCCCTCCACGTTTATTTTTGACATCATGTCTTATATCTTGTTTTGTGTATCCCGATTCTTTATTGTAGTTACTAATTTTTCTACTATTGTCTTTTAACCTTCATATTAGCTTTTTAAAGTGGTTGATTCACTGTGATTATTGTATTTTTGCCTTTCTGATATTTTCCCCCTGTATTTTCTTATTTTTGGTTACAACCTTTTCTGCATAAAGACCCTTTAACATTTCTTGTAAGGCTAGTTTAGTGGTGGTGAACTCCTTTAGTTTTTGTATGTCTGGAAAACTCACTCCAATTCTGAACGCTAACCCTGCTGGATGTAGTATTCTAGGTTGTAGATTCCTTCCTTTGAGCACTTTAAATATGTCCTACCACTCCTGTCTGGCCTCTAAAGTTGCTTCTGAGAAATTAGCTGATCGCCTTATGGGGTTTCACTTACTTGATGTTTCATTCTTGCTGCCTTTAAGATTGTCTTTATCCTTAACTTTTGCCATTTTAATCCAATATGCCTGGGAGTGGGTCTCTTTGGTTCATCTTGTTTGGAACCCTATGTTTGGATGTCTGTTTCCTTCCCCAGATTAGGAGAGCTTTCAGACATTATTCAAATATTCTTTCTACCCTTTTCTCTTTCTTCTCCTTCCGGAATCTCTATAATGCAAATGTTAGGTTGCTTGATGTCAGGCAAATTACTTATTACAACCCTCTGGATGTAAAAAAACCGGGCCCCTGAGAATTTAAGTAACTTGCCCTGAGTTACCCAGCAGTGAGTGGTAGTGTGGGATTCAAACTCAGGTCCATGCAGCAGCTGAGCTGCCCATGATCTCAGAGATCTCAAATACTATCCTCATTTGAAAATTTTTTTTCACTTTGCTGTTCTGATTGGGTGATTTCTATTATTCTATCTTCCAGGTCACTAAACTGTTCTGCATTAACTAATTTGCTGTTGATTCCTTCTGATGTAGTCTTCATTTCAGTTATTTTATGCTTCATTTCTGATTTTTTTAAATTACATTTTCTATCTTTTTGTTGAAGTACTCTTTGAATTCCTCTATTGTACTCTCAAGGTTGTTGAGCATCCTATGACAGATTCTTTAAATTCTTTATCAGGCAAATTACTTATTTCCATTGTTTTAGGGTTTTTCTCTGGCGTTTCTTCTTGTTCCTTCATTTGGACATATTCTTCTTTGACTTTTGTGTTTGTTCCTATGAGTTGCAATGAGTAACTGTCCCTCCCAGTCTTGAAAGAGAGGTCTGGTGACTGTGTTGAACAGTTTTGGCAGCTGGTTGTAATCAGGGCGGGCATGTGCCAGACCCTATGTGTCACCTGGCCTGAAGGAATGGGTTTGAGGTGGGGCAACTGGTGTGTGCATACTTCCTTGCCCTTCTAATCTGGGTGTGGCTGCCTGATTTAGACAGGGCTGTGAGATGTGCTTACCATGCCCTATTGCTTTTACTGTCTATGTTTACAGCAGGGCTGTGCATGCACACCCAACTCACTCCATATGCGGCAGCCCTGTGTGTGATACCACAATTTTGCTGGTTCCACATTTTCTTTGGTGGGGTGGCCCCATGTGTGCATGCAGCAGTGACCCATTATCTGCACTTTCTCTAAACAGGGGAGCCCTAGAGGCAGGTACCACAATGTTTTGTTAGCTCTGCATTCTCTTCATTTGAGGAGCCCCTTGTGTGCACAGCCAAGTGGGGGCATGAAGCAGCACACTGCTGTACCTGCTTGATCAACCTCCAGGTGCAAGGACCCCTTGTGTGTATGGTTCCTGCTGGATCCAGCTCCAGGAGGGGTGGCTGGGAACTCGCCAGAGTGCCCTGCAGGTCGGCCACAGAACCTGGATGAGCTCCTGCCCGCTATCCAGGTTCATGGGAACCAAACATTGGCCTCACTGGTTCCTCTGGTCCTGGGTTGTTCCTCAGCTCCTGAAGAGCTTCCCGACCTTTTCTATGAGGTTCCCCTCCCCGCCTCTTTTTTTTTTTGCTTATTGCACAGAAGCTATTCAGTTGGTTCCCAGTGTTCTCCCAGGAGGAACTGCTCTAAATATAGGTGTACATTCAATGTGTTCTTGGGAGGGGGTGAGCTCAGCATCCACTATGCTGCTATCTTGGACCTGCCTCACGTGCCTTTTATTTCTTATCCTCTACAACCCTCTGGATGTAAAAAAACCGGGCCCCTGAGAAGTTAAGTAACTTGCCCTGAGTTACCCAGCAGTGAGTGGTAGTGTGGGATTCAAACTCAGGTCCATGCAGCAGCTGAGCTGCCCGTGATCTGCCTCCCCTGGAGATAATGTCTGTCAGCTGTTTCCTATTCACATAACCTGCCAGAAACTCTGTTCTAGCTGTTTCCGTACCTCTGGTAAGGGGTTCTCTCCACTCAGGCAATCCCTTTTATTAATAACTCACTACCAGTGGTTGTGGTAATTGGGGAGACATCTGAAGGCTCCTAAGTTTAAAGCGCCAATTTATCTAAAATAATCCAGCTTCTGGCTCAGGACATGCATATGATCCAATTCACAATTCATAACACTGGCTCTGACTGCAAGTTACTTAGATGGCCATGAAAGCAGGGGGTACGCTTGCTTAAGCAGTCCTGCCAGGAACTTCACTGCCACCACAAAGGTTACAGAGAGACGTCCCTTGTTCTGCTCGAGCTCCACTTTGTGACTTCCTGTCTTCTGTAAGCCCCACAGCTGCCCATCAGTCTGTGAAGTTCTCCACAAGAACTTTCTACAGTGAGGAGAACAGAGCAGGCAACAGATGCTACATAAACTCCAAGTTCTTTCACAGTTAGACACTGTGGGGTAGAAAGTTAACTACTTCTGTTTCCCAGGAAAGAGATATTTTGTGTTCTGTTGTAATTTAGTGATCTGGAAATCGATGTGTCCAGTCTGAAGCAGAACTTCCTTAGAATGCCAGAAACCCAACTCCTGGGCAGAGCTTGGATGAGGCTGGGAAGGGACAGAGGTAATGCCAGTTAAATAACCCCTGAAGTCTCCTGGAACAAAAACCTCTGCCCACACCACCTCTCAAAAATGGAACATCATTTTTCCTCTGGGCTTCCATGAAACCTAGCAGGTGTTTGCCTAAGAATGGGGAGTGGGAGAAGGGAGTCCAACAGAGCACATGAGCAGTCTGTACAAGCTCAGGACAAATCGGCCCAGCTGGAATCAGGTGTGACTTCGGGACTGGAGGAGGTGATAGAGTTTGGACTCCACCTTCAAGTGATGGAGATCCAGGAAAGTGCGTTAAGCAAGGGCGGTAACATGACATTTGGGTTTGGAAAGATTACCCAGGCAGCAGCATGAAGAAGGGACAGAAGGTCTGCAGTGAGTGACAGTTGGGAGGGAAAGGGGAGAAATACACAGGAGATGTAGAGAAGACGTCTACAGGATCTCCCTAGTGAGTGGCTGGAATGGGAGAGATAAGCCGAGGGTACTGCCCTGCTCTCAGGCTGGATGAGAGAAGGCACCACCCAGAGAGGAGCACCAGGAAGAACAGGCTGGGGAAGTTAATGAGTACACTTCTGAAGTGCTTCTGCAACACCCAGACGGGTGTTATAACTGCTAGCAGAACTCCAAATCTGTATCCTTCTGTGGTTATAGGATACCAGTAGTTTTAGCCCATGGCCTTTTGTAATAAAGACAATTTCTCCACTCTGCAGTGCAGTTAGGCGTGTGATCATGTGTCTAAGTTCTGACAATGGGGGGTAAGTGGTTTATACAATTTATAGGAACTGTGGTTAAACAAAGGGCTTTTGTTCTTCCTCCTTTTCCTCCATCTTGCTGGCCAGGATGCAGATGTAATTGTTGGAGCTGGAACAACCATCATAAGCCAGATGTTAAGGATGGTGGAGCCACAAGATAGAAGAAATCCAGAGAGAGGTTTATGGAAGGTGCCCAGGCTGCCTGCACTTACACTTCTATCTTGGTTAAGTCACTATAACATAGCAAATGCAACTAATGCTGATGTCCGCCAGGGCTTGAGGCTTTGGGCAGATTTGACAGTCATTAATATAAAGAAAGGCCTCCCAGATGAAGGATTAGGAAACACAGATGCCCTTCCATGTCCTCACAGCCCATGGTAAGTAAGGTACAGATACCTTTCCACTTCCTTTGCATTCCTTGCCAAATTCTCAGGGCTCCATGTGGCCATAATAGGGCATTTTTCAGACTAAGGAGGAGGCTGGAGAGAGGACCTGAGGACTCAGCATTTCCAAAATAGTAATTATAAATAAGGAAATAGAAATTTGAACAACCACACAAACATTACCCTGGAGCTTCCTCGGTAGAGACGACAAAGCCGATCAAATGCTTGGATTTGCTGTGGATCCAGAACAGGTTCTGAGGTTGCCTGAGAAATAAAAGATAAGGTTGGTAACATCCATGGGCAGCCTCTGAACTTGTTCAACAGTGAAACAGGACGTGGTGCTTCCTTCATTCCTTTGAAGAAAACACATGCTATTAGTGAGAGAGAATCTAGTGAACATTAATGGGCAGGTCCTGCTAAAGTCCCCTGGTGCCAGTGCCCAGGCTGACCGCTCTATGGAACCTTCCCCCAGTGTGGTCTCTAATTTCCCGTACCGATCAGCTTCCTTTAGGGCTTTGTGACTGCTCTTTGCCTTTACTATGTAGAGAAAAGTAGCTCCATCCAACCTTGCCTTCCCATGTCCATCACTACTAGTAAGTATAGTCAGCAAAGATGGCCCTTCTTTGTGGTGGTAGTGGGGGATGCATTATACAGGAAAAATCACGTCATTTCCCTGTCTCATTATAAAGCTGGTAGCCACCTATCAGGTTGCAAGGTTGGTCTACTACTTTTTGGAAGAGGTGAACTTAACATTTCTATGGCAGTATTGTGATTCTACTACTGGTGGTTCTGATCCAACTTATACCTAGAGGGAAGATATGGGATCTTGTGGAAGGCAGTCATAAGCTTTGTTGAGTCAGAAGTAAATTGGAATACCAGTTCTGACACTAACTTACTGTATGACCTTAGGCAAGTCATTTCTATAAGCCTCAACTCGCTCACTTATAAATGAGAGAGGATAACGCTTTCTTTATGAGGTCACCGAAAAACAAATTACATGAGATTACAAATTTAAAGTGCCTTTAACTTACCTGGCACCCCACAAGGGCTCAGTATATGCTAACTTTTATTACTACATTTAGAGATACCTTTAGTTAAATGTTGATTTCAGAAGTGTTTTTATGTTTATGTATAAGTCTAGTAAAAAGATGTTTTTCTTTACTGTGAACGTTTTTGGCATGAGTAAAAAGTATCTATATATATAAAAGCCCAGCGACCAGAACAGTGGAACGACCAGAACAACCAGAACGACTGGTGACTATGAAGTGCACTGCGGCAGCCAACTAGCCTGATCCAGGCCCAATTGGCCCCCAAAACACTGATTGGGGGCAGGGCCGGCTGGCCAACCACCTGCTGCCCCTCTGCCCCCACTGGCCTGGCCCAATGGGCCTCCGTTGGGGCAGGCCGGCCGGATCGCAACTGTGCACGAATTCGTGCACTGGGCCTCTAGTTACTAAATAAAGACCTATGTATCAGAGGGGAAGAGTTTCAATGAGAAAGGGTCTTGGTGTTGACATGAACAATACTCTATAAGAAAGTACTATCAGGTCCATATTATTCCCCCAAGAAGGACTGACCTTCAAAAAAAGATGTACATATAAGAAGTTATGAACCAGCTAAGAAAAAGCTAAAGGAGTTCATCACCACTAAACTAATATTACAAGAAATGTTAAAGGGATTTCTTTAAGAAGAAAAGATAAAAAGTATGAGGAAATGTAAGAACAAAAAAAAATTCTCACTGACAAAGACAAACAGTAAAAGCAGTGAATCAACCAACTATAAAGCTACTACGAAGGTTAAAGAGCAAAAGTAAGAACATAATGTGTAATTACAACAATAAATTAAGTAACACACAAAATAAGTATAAGAGAATGACAAAAACATAAATGTGGAGTAAAAATTGTAGTGGTTTTAAAATGTGTTCAAACTTAAGTGACCATTAACTTAAAACATACTGTATAAATATAATGTGGTACATATGAAGCACATGGTAATCACAAACCAAAAATCACTAACAGGTAAACAAGAAATAAAGAGAAAAGAATCAAACATAACCATATAAAGAGTCAACATACAAGAGAAGAGAGCAGAGAATAAGGAACAGAAAAGAACTATAAAAACAATCAGAAAACACCTAATTGGCAATAACTATCAATTATTGTAAATGTAAGTGAATTAAATGCTTATATCAAAAGACATAGGGTGGCTGAATGGATAAAAAAAAAGACCCTTGCCCTAGGCAGTTTGGCTCAGTGGACAGAGCATTGGCCAGTGGACTGAAGGGTCCTGGGTTCGATTCTGCTCAAGGGCACATGCCTAGGTTGTGGGCTTGATCCCCAAGACGGGGTGTGCAGAAGGCAGCCTATCAATGATTCTCTCTCATTACTGATGTTTCTATCTCTCTCTCCCTCACCTTCCCTCTCTGAAATGTGTGTGTGTGTGTGTGTGTGTGTGTGTGTGTGTGTGTATATACATACATATATATATATATATATATATATATATATATCCCATACATATGCTGCCTATAAGAGACCCCCTTCAGACTGAAAGACATGCAGACTGAAAGTAAAGGGACAAAAAAACGTATTTCATGCAAATGGAAATTTTTAAAAAGCTGGGCAGCTATACTTATATAATACAATGTAGACTCTAAAACAAAAGTTGTCACAAAGAAGGGCATTTCATAATGATAAAGGGATCAATCTAACAAGAGGATATAACTCTTGTAAACATCTATGTACACAATGTAGGAGCACCTAGATATATATCAATGGACATAGAGAGATCAACAATAATATAATAATAGTAGGGTACTTTAACACTCTGTGAAGATCAATGAGTAGATCATTCAGACAGAAAATCAAAAAGGAAACAGTGTATGCCCAGCCAGTGTGGCTCAATGGTTGAGCATTGACCCATGCACCAGGAGGTCACTGGTTCGATTCCTGCTCAGAGCACATGCCTTGGTTGTGGGCTTGGTCCCCAGTAGGGGCTTGCAGGAGGCAGCTCATCAGTGTTTCTATCTCTCTCTCTAAAATCAATAATAAAAACATTTAAAAAAAGGAAACAGTGGCCTTAAATGATGCATTAGACCAGATAGACTTAATTGATAATTTTAGAACATTTCACCCCAAAGCAGCAGAAAATAAATTCTTTTCAAGTGCACATGGAATATTTTCCAGGATATCAAATATTAGACCACAAAATAAGTATCAGTAAGTTTAGAAGCAACTTTTCTGAACACAATGGTATGAACTAGAAACCAATTACAAGAAGAGAACTGAAAAACACACAAACATGTGGAGGTTAAATAACATGCTACTAAACAATGAATGGGTTATCAATGAGATCAAGGAAGAAATCAAAAGGTACATTAAGACAAAAGAAAATGAAAACACAATTACCCCAAATTTATGAGACATGGCCAAAGCAGTTCTAAGAGGGAAAGTCAGAGCAATACAGGCCTACCTTGAAGAACAAGAAAAATTTCAAATAAAGTATCTAATCTTACACCTAAAGGAACTAGAAAAAGAACAAATCCCAAAGTGAATAAAAGAAAGGAAATAATAAAAATCAGAGTGGAAATAAACAAAACAGAATCTGAAAAAAATAATAGAAAAGATCAATGAAACCAAGAGTTGGTTCACTGAATGGACAAACAAAATAGATAAACCTTTAGCTAGAATCATCAGAAAGAAAAGAGGACCCAAATAAAATAAAGAGGAGAAATGACAACCAATATCACAGAAATACAAAGGATTATAAGAAAATACTATGAACAATTATATGCCAACAAATTGGACAACTGGAGGAAATGGATAAATTCCTAGAAACATACAACCTTCCAAGACTAAACCAGGAAGAAACAGACAATTGCTAACAAAATTGTATTGGTTATCAAAAAACTCCCAACCAACCAGAGTCCTGGACCAGATGGCTTCACAAGCAAAAGTTACCAAACTTTCAAGAATTAACACCTATCTATATCAAACTATTAAAAAATACTGAAGAAGAGGGAAGGCTTTCAAACTCTTTTTATGAGGCCAGCATTACTCTATTACCAGAACCAGATAAAGATATTACATAGAAAGAAAATTTAGGCCAATATCCCTGATGAACATGGATGCAAAAATCCTCAACATAATATTAGCAAACTGAATTCAGCAATATATTAAAAAGATTATTCAACCTGATTAAGTGAGATTTATTCCTGGGACACAGGCCCATTCAGTATCTGCAAAACAATGTGATACACCACATAAACAAAATGAAGGATAAAAATCATATCATCATATCAATAGATGCACCAAAAAAAGCATTTGATAAAATTCAACATTCTTTTAAAATAAAAACTCAGGCCCTAACTGGTTTGGCTCAGTGGATGGAGCGTTGGCCTGCGGACTGAAGGGTCCCAGGTTTGATTCCGGTCAAGGGCATGTACCTTGGTTACAGGCACATCCCCAGTGGGGGGTGTGCAGGAGGCAGCTGATGGATGCTTCTCTCTCATTGATATTTCTAACTCTCTATCCCTCTCCTTTCCTCTCTGTAAAAAAAAATCAATAAAAATATATTTAAACAAAACAAACAAACAAACAAACAAACAAACAAAACTCAGCATTGGTGCCCAGCCAGTATGGCTCAGTGGTTGAGCATCGACCTATGAACCAGGAGATCATGTTTGATTCCCAGTTAGGGCACAGGCTGGAAGTTGTGGGCCCAATCCCCAGTGGGGAGTGCGCAGGAGGCAGCCAATCAAAGATTTTCTCTCACTGATGTTTCTGTCTCTCCCTTCCTCTTTGAAATCAATAAAAATATATATTAAACAGGAGAAAACAAAACTCAGCAGTGGGGATAGAAGGAACATATCTCAATATAATAAAGGCCATATGTGACAAATCTACTACTAACATTATATTTAATGGTGAAAAATGAAAGTCAATTCTTTAAGATCAGGAGCAAGATAAGGATGTCCACTTTCACCACTTTTATTCAATGTAGTGTTGGAAGTCCTAGTTACAACAATCAGACAAGAAAAATAAATAAAACGCATCCAAGTTGGAAAGGCAGAAGTAAAACTGTCATTATTTGCAGATGACATGATAGTATGTATAGAGAACCCTAAGAATTCCACCAAAAAACTATTAGACTAATAAATGAATTCAATAAAGTAGCAGGATTCAAAATTAATGTTTAGAAAACAATCACATTTTATACACCAATAACAAATATCAGAAAGAGAAATTAAGAAAACAATTCCATTT